AGCAACTACTAGTAACTTTGGGGGTTCAACTAATCATGATATGTGCTGTTCGGGTTTAGACCAGGTAGCTACGTAAACGGTGTACCAGAACCATAACCAAGGGGCACATTGAGGCCTTGGACCCACCTTTGGCCTTCGAGTGTTCTTGCGCAGACCTCGACCAATGGGCCAAAGAGGCTCGGCGCATCTTTGAACCTCACGCAAACCCCATCCCGTGTGTTGGAGCGTCTTCCATTTGCCTTGGGCAGCTGTGCTTTTTGTTGTTGCGCTAAAACACGGAGATCTCGTGTCTCTCGGTTGCTCCTAAGCGAGCCTTAAAGGGCATGACACGCTTTGGCGCTCAACCCCAACCCAACCTGCGCCTTAAACCCATCCCGGCCCTCGTGCCGTGTGGCTTGTACACCGCGGTAATGACGATGCCTCGCGAGTCACATTCCAAGATCCAAAAGGCCCTTCGGCGGACACCATTTAGTTGAGGACTTCATGTCCATTAACCACTGTTGAGGCGGTTCCCCGGTAAAAACCATAGCCAGGCGCGTCAAACTGCAAATTCCGACAGGCCCTGCATGCAAGTGTGTGAGTAGTGCGTGCGAGTGTGCGAGTGTGCGCGTGGAAACAGCGAGCGAACAAACAGGTGGACGAGTGACTCGAACACTCGCGCAGGAAAAAGGTTTTCCCCAGATAGCTGAAAGCTATAGGGATTCTAACTTCTACAGGGATCCTTACATTGTACACCTGAACATTGCCTTGTCAATGGTAGTTTCCCGTTATTTTGGTGGAAAAAGCCATGTTTCAAATGGGCAAAATGCATCTTTTAAGGAGCCCTGTTCTAGTAAAGAAGGGGAAGTGATTTGCAAGATTGACGGCAGGGTGAAACTTGGGGTGCTGGCGCAGGTGCTGTTTTGGGGGGGCTTGTGCACTTTTGGAAGCTGTTTTGGGATGCTGCTTGGGGTGTTGGTTGAGGTGCTCTTCGGGCAGTGCTGTTAGAGCGTGCTGCCGTGTATTCGTTGGCGGTTGTTTCGCTATCTGGGGCCTATGCTGGTGTAATTTGTTTTATTGTTGTTGGGCACACGAACGTTACTTTCAGTTGCATGTCAAAAAACAAGGCAAAACAAAACAACAACTTATGTCTGTGTGAGTGAAAAGCGTGTGAGTAGGGCGCGCGAGTGTTCGAGTCACTCGTCCACTCGTCCGCTCGCTCGTTCCACTCACACACTCGCACATTGCACTCACACACTTGCACGCCCTACTCGCACACTCCACTCGCACACTCCACTCGCACACTCCACTCGTGCACTCGTCAAAAGGCCACTCATACACTATTTGGCACGTGTGCCTAAACCACCTGTTTACAACCTCTTGGCACCAGCTAAGTTATTTTGCTGAGGGTACTTCCTAGTCTCTGATGTCGTTTACTTTGGTCACAAGAGCTGTGATGGCGGACACACACACACAAACAAAAGACTTGGTGTTAGCACGCACAAACGTGCATCTCTGATTGCTGGAGGTATTTTGAAGAAATATACGAGCCACGAACGATGCTATTTGTGACAAAGGACATGGAAAAACTTTGGTTGTCTTCCTATTCTTGTCGGGGAACTTGGGCTGTCCCCCCCTTGTCCTCCCCATATCCAACAGTAATTAGACGACCAATTACATTTCAGGTGCTATGCACAAGAAAAGGAAACTCTTTCAAATGCAACTGTGCAACAAGCATACACAAACAATCGTGACAGCATGGGGCACGCGTGCCGGATTGAACACGGAACAACACCTCCAGTGATCCCGCCAAAATTCAAGCAACAACACGAGAAACAATTGTGAGTACAAGAAACAACTCAGCCTCTCATGTGTTAGCAGGCCAAGCGGGCAAACACTTGAAACAAAGGGCGTCAAGCGTGTTTATGACCTGTTGTTGCGGGTGGATAATCGCATAGAAAGGGCAAATGAGCAACGTCAGCAAGGTCCGCGCTCACTCGTGGTTTCACAGTCAACCTGTCAATCCTTTCAAGAGGAGTAATTAAAAAAACTTGATTCTTCAGCGCTCCAGGGTGGCTGCAGCGGATTCGGAGGTGGAAACGGAGGGATATGCATAAACAAAGGCCAAAAGCACTGGTTGCAACTCCAGGCTGCCAAAACTGCGTGACTTGCTTTGCAAGTGACTCTGCTTTGCGCTGTTCCAGCGTGTGTCAGGACCTCTGTCAATATCTGGCTGGTTCAGCCTGCGCCTTCTTGCATGACATAGGCTCGGCAAGAAGGCGCAAAAGCGAGGCTCATGCAACCGAAATTGCAATTCCGCACACAGTGTGGAATTTAAGGGGTGGGCCAAAGCGTGGTCCAAGCCCTGGGTATGCCAAAGAACGCTCACATATAACATATAGGATGTGCTGAAAAAGACACCGGAAACAGTTGAAACCCTGGCCAGTTCCCCCCGCCTATGAGGGCATTGGAGCACACCACGCCTATGCCCAGCACCTAGGAATTTGAACGAATCTCCAAGTGAGTCACATTCAAAACCCGGTATTAAAATGGTCCCAGAGCCATGAAAAGAATCAAGAAGGCGCAACCATTTCTGGCTGGGACCGCTTACCAATCTTCATTTACCCGGGTTTCGATGGTGGCTCAAGTGGCTACAAAGAGGTGGACCAAACATGAGAAAACCCGCTGAAAGGGGTTCACTGGGCTTCAGGGCTATAAACCTTCTAAATCGGGTTCAGTAGGTTCACAGCCCTGCTTATAACCAAACAGAGGCGGAGGGGAACGGTCATATCTTAGTATCTTGGACTGTTCCTGGGTAGAAACCCCGATCAAGCGTTTGGACCACAATGTGTGGGGGATCTATGCAACCCCAATTAAGGGGAACCAAAAGGAAAACGCTCATTTGGATGGAGTCCCCTACTTTGCAACGTTTGACAAACGTATGCATATATGCATATGTATATATATATATATGTATATATTATATACATATCTACATATCTACATATCTACATATCTACATATCTACATATCTACATATCTACATATCTACAAATATACATATATATATATATATATGCATAATATATATATATATGCATGTATATTTGGAGACATTGTGTGTATTAGAAGGGATGGGCCGAGAGGGGAAGAAGGAGAAGAGGGTGAGGGTGGATGGTTAGAGTCAGAGTGCTTATATGAGGCGTCCGAAGAATTCCAGAACAAATGAGAGGACTTGCTTCTGGTGGGTGCAGGAAAGCATGGGAGCGACGAAGGAGTTGTCTTTGTTCCCAATTCAAACGAATGGAAACAAAAGGTCCGTTGCGCACGCAAACTTTGGATTTTAGCACGCGTACCGCACCCTCTCAGAGCCGGAACCCTGACATGGATGAGTATTCACTCAGAGGGACCCACTGCTGAGTCGTCTGAAGAAAATGCAAACCTTCACTGGGTTATGAAGGACGCCTAGACAAGTTGGAAATTAACAAAAAGGAACAAGCTAAGGCATTTCCTTGTATTGCCACTGGTGATCGCTTTCCTGCGTTGCGAGTTCGTGTGAAAATGCAGGAGGTGCTGAGGAAGTTCTGTCTCCCCACAACTGTCCCCATTCCCAGCCCAGGGGTAGTGTCTGGGATCGTGCATATTCCATGGATCCCTGAGCCGCTCATGCCAACTGAGGGTGCTTTTGGACAATTTGGCTTCACGCACACACTCCTCCGATGCCCAAATAGCTGTTGCGCCCTCAAGCCCCAGAACAGATCCAAATCCTTGCCTCTCTCCGGGCCAAGCCGTCCCGGCCGTGCCAGCGGGAAGATCAAAACAGCTGAACCCAACAGCTCCCTCCGAGAAAGCGAAAGATCCTCCGCTTGAAGGAACGGTCCCTGAACCCAAAAGAGGTAGCCAGCAAGGTCCTCAAACAAAAACAAAAAGGACACCGACACCTCCAACGAACAAGCAGCAACAAGCTGCAAGCAAATCCAGTACCAGATTCGGCTCATCCTGTGTGGTCTTGCTTTCGTAGCCCAAGGTGCGTCGTAGCCCTCGAAGAAAGAGATGTCTTTGCCCTTGCTGTTTGGGTTCGGCAGAAAAAGAAAGGCCAGCAGGTTGAAGATCACCCCGCCTCGACGCGAGCAAGCCGACAGAACTACCGGGTACATCAAAATAGGATGGTCAAATTCTGCTTCATGTTTCGTCCAGAGTCTATACCCTAAAGCCTGAAAATAATTCCGGACGACAGATCAGATTCTCCCGAAAACAAAGGTGCAAAGGGAGTCCCCAGTTTCAGCATGGCAAGGCGCTCACAAGCAGCTTGCAACGCTATTTGCTCGGTGATCGAACGAAACGCGTTACGAGCTGCTGGAGTAGAGCGTCGCGTTCTGCACGTTCAGAGTGATCTGGAAGTTCTTGACCTCGTGAGCGAGGTCTGGTCCCCAGTGACTTTTTCTCCTGCAAACCAAAAAACCAAAGGACCAAGGGCAAGCTGTTGACAAGAGGTGCGGTTGAAAGAATGGGGAATCGACCTCTAGAAAGGGAGCTGAGATGCCTCGAGTGGTTGCAAGTGCAGCCCGCGTCCGCATCGTCCTTTCTGGAAGCACTGGCGGCTTCGCGGGGGCTAGCCCCCATAAAGTCGCAGCGAAGTCTTCACGATCCAGGCTCGATCGATTGAATGTACTCGTTGAAAACGCGTTGGCCAGTCTGAGCTCTAAGAGGGCCGTCAAGGAAAAATCAACCGCTGTCTGAACTCAACCAAGCCTGTGGATCCAGAGTCTGTACACTGTACACAGCTGCCAATGCACTGTACACGCGCTTGGGCGCCAATGCTGCACCCTTTGGGTACACCAAGGCGAAACAAGGCCGCCTCCAGCCAGCGAACAAAGCGTTGAAGATTTCTAGCGGCTCTGGTGTTGAGGGTGGCCATGGGCCACACGGCAAAACCAAAGTGATCTGCATCTGCAACTGGACACATCACGGAAGCAAGCACGGCGAACCCCTGCAAGACAGCTTTGACAAAGGACATGAGCTCACAGGCGGCGCTTTCGAGCAGCGCGTCGCTCTGTGTGAGGGCAGTACTTCTTTGGGAGCCTCGTCTTCGGCCCGTCCAGCTTGCCCCTGCTCTTGCCTGGCACCGGTAGCGGTGCCCGGCTGACCGCAGGCGCCGCAGGAGCGCTGGTGGTCCCGTGCGCAGGGGGCGGCGCGAGCTGTGGAGTGGCGTGAGACACCTCGAAGAGCGGCAGCAACCGGCTCTCGTCAAAGACTACGATGGCGTCCCCCACGTGCCGCACATGGTCAGACTGCGCTGTGATGAAGTGATTGCCACAGGCAACGCGCTCTGGCAGTGCAACGGCATCATCGATGACCCCGCACACCAGCAGAGCCCGTGAGGAGCCGAGAGCGAAGCCGTAAGCCAAGCGGGCGTTGATAGTCTTGGCAGTGTAGATGCCCTTGCCATGGGAAGAGCCATGCAAGACTTTCACATTGTTGTCGCAGCTGGGGACTAACAGTCCTTTCTGGTAGATAGAGTTCAAATTCTTCTCGTTCGTGCCGTGCAGAACCACCTGCAGCTTCTCCTTGTGCTTCTCCACCTGAGCTAAACTGGACATCTGCTCTCTTACTGTTCTTGGTCGAAACCTTCTCGCTTTACGTATCACACTGCTCACCAACGGCATCGCTGTTTCTTGGTTTTCGTTTCGCACTACAAACCATACACCCCAACATCGCTGCACGATTTCCTTTGTCAAGCAATACTTTGTTAGACTGCCGCGCGACATCGCAATTTTGTAATTGCTACACTCGCGAAGTGCACCTCCGCAGCTCCAACTTGAAACATCGCCAACCTTGTAGTACAGGTGTAGTACGCGTATACTTCCGCAGCTCCAGCTCGAAAAGTACTGCGCAAAGTACACACTTACTGCTCCCGCTTGAGATCGCAACTTTGCAGTACAAATGTAGTTCTTGGAGTAACACTTCCGCAGCTCCGGCTCGACCACCGCAACTTTGTACTACAAGTATAGCGCGAGAAGCGCACTTCCGCAGCTCCAGCTCGAAAAGCAAAACTTTCTAACACACTTTCGCAGCTGTAGCTCGAAAAGTTCACTCGACGAAAAGCTCCAGCTCGAGAATCACAATTCTAATGCACAAGCGTAGCGCGCGAAGTACACTTTGGCAACTGCAGATCGAAAAATCGCAACTTTACAAGTGTGGCGCACGAAGTCTCCAAAATTGAAACTCTGGAGTTCAAGACTAGCACGCGAAGCACGCTGCTGCAGCTCCGGCTCGAAGCACGCCTGCATACACAAAGCACTCTTCGCAGCTTTTCTTGTTGCATGAGAAATGTTCCGATGTTTCTGCGGCGCCGAACTGTCCGCTGGCCGATATTATCGCTCAACGACTGGAAGTTGGTCGCTTTGCCGCAAAACTACAGGGTCCGCGGCGCACCGGCACCGTTTGGACGTCCAGCACTCGTCCCCTTTTTTTTTCTCGATCAAAGCCCTCAACCATATTTGGATTCGCGACAAATAGAGCGAGCTCAGGCTCGGCGCGGACGGCTTTTCCAGCAGAAAGGCGACAAAACAGCAGCACACGCCCTTTCAGGAGCCGCCACGCGAAGCAGGAAATTGTTGGTAACGCATCGTTGGCCGCAGGAATCGATGAAAGGAGGAGCAAGTTCCGGAGAGCGCCGTCACGATCGGGAGACGCGTTGTGAAGAAGGAACGCGTTGGTGACTCAAAGTTGTCCGCAGCAATGACCTTATGCGGAGCAGTCCAGTCAGGAGTGTCTGGTTGGGTCAAATTGTGAAGCAAATGCAAGTAGAAGCCTGACAAGCGCACAAAAGCGTCAGTAGTGTATCGTTGTCCGCAGAGATGGCCATATGCAGTGAGAAGCAAGTACAAGCAGACGTGGATCAGCCCAGGAGAAATACCATCAAGCAAAGAGAGGGAAGACGCGAAACTTGAGGCATCAAAACAGGAGTAAAAGCTAATCGGGACCGCATGCGTTTTCCCTACAAAAGAAACTAACATGAGTTACATGAGTGTTTAATAGGGGGTGCCAAAGTATCATCTCAAAACAAGCTCTGGAACTTGCCCACGAACTCGCAGTGCTGCCCCAATCGCGGGTGGATTCCTAAAAGTGTGGACAAGCGCCGGAGGATTTCCCAAAGCATCGATGCTTATCAATTTGCCTCGTCAACTCCCCAAAGTGTGGATGCTTCTCGTCCGGCTGCGCGATTCCCCAAACATGGGTGGATTCCGGAAAATGTGGGCACTTCTTATTTGGCTGGTGGATTCAAGCGATTCCCCCCTTGGCTGCGTGCTTCCCTAAACTTAGGAGTCCCCACAGCACGGCTCAGCTGCGTGGACTCCGTTACACGTGGATGCCATCATTTTGGACGCGTGATTCAACATGCGCAGCTCCCCCCTAAACGCGGATGCTTATCAACATGGGTGGATTCCCCTTGTTTCGTTCGGCTGCGTGATCATTCATGACTTCTAGAACATGCATCATTCTAAGGCTGCCTTCCCCATTCTTTCCAGGGATCCTTCTTTCTAGAAAACCTCCGGAAACCCAGGGAAAATGGCTTGTGTTTGGAAAGAACAATGGTTGAAAGGAATGGGGAATCAGCGCCTAGAATCATACACGGAAGAGTCAGTCCCTCACCTGCTCCTTGAACCGCTGCCGCAGCGGCTGCGCCACCGGCGCTGCCCGCAGCACGGCGTCCCCGTAGAGTGGCGCCAGGACACTGCACACCTCGCCCCCGAAGCGCGACAGGAAGTCGAAACGGAGGCGCTCAAAGGGGTCGCTGCTCCGCTGCGAAAGCTCCGGGCAGCACAACCTCATGCGATATCTGTCCTGCAAGTTATTGGTCAAATGATCGACCTCGGCATCTTCTGGTCCTTTGCGTGTCCGCCGCGGCGTCTGCTTGGCCAACTGGTACTGACTCGCAGCCTGGGTAGCCTGCTGTGCTGCGGCATCCCACCTAGTAAGGGACCGCGGCTTCCGAGCTCCCTTGGCCTTGCGCGGCCGCAAAGGCGCGTCCTGTGCGGAGGCCGCAGTGGACTGCGTCGAACTCGCCCCATCGTTCCAGTCAAGCTCTTCCTCCGACTCTGAAAGGACAAGCTCCTCAGCTTCGTCAAACCACTCTTCCACCCAGTCGTCCGACTCAAAGACCTCCTTGTCCTCCATCATGGTCTGCCACACTCGCCGCCACTGTTGGTGGCTGCTTTCCCCTTCAAAGGCACACCATTGATTCCGGCTGCTGTTGTTGATGCTTCGCTTGGCCACGCTGCGGCCATATAGAACGTCATCCTCCACCTTGCCGTGCTGCCTACGATGGCCATGCCTCATCGACCAGCCCCGCGCAGGCTGCAAGTCAAAGGTATCCATGGCTGGGTGTCGCTTCACTTGCCTTCTTGTGGATTGAGCCAGTTGCCTTAAGCCATGGGTCCACCGGACGGTTATGCATAGCCAGCAGCGCCTCCTATGGCTTGCCGGTTTTCAGGGAACGGAAGGACCCCTATGAGCCATCCCAGTAGCCTTTTTTTTTCGAGGGGATGCCCTTCCGGTTGACGCCCAACACCCCAATCCCGAACCAGCCAAATTCTCTCACGGACCCCCAGCTCAGGATCCGGCCAGATACCTGGGCGTCGGGCGGAATGGATGCCCAGGGCTCCAACCATGGGTATTCCAGGGGACTGACAGCTACCCAAGCTAGAACCATGGCTATAACCTACTTAAGCTGGGACTCTCACAGTCTTTCAATGGCCACGTGACTTAAACATCCCAGCAAGCTTGGCTTGCACTTGAGGTCTGCACGGAAACTTTTCGGCTTTTGAAATCCATGTCCAGCTTTCAGGGCTCTTGCCTTCAAAATTCGGGGGAAGCTAGGGTCCTGGGCCCAGATGTGTCATTCCGAGAAAGGGGTTGTAAAGGCCTGAAGTTGCCATCATTTCCCTTGCCATCAACTTGCCAAAAACTTATCAGACCACCAAAGGCGCCAGGTTGACGGCCAGTCGAATCAACCTCCGGTTCTGGTTGATTAAATTCGGAGTGTCCCGTTTGAGAGGGAATCCTTCACTGCGCGAACGCAGCCCCATGAATCCACGAAGTTGACTGACTCGTCTGGGGTCGGCAAAGAGAACGCAGCCCTGACCATCCACTAGGCCCAAGCCACTACCACCAGGGAAAGCCCAGATGTTCTACCAATCCTATTCAAACCCTGGGTCGTAGTGCTTTGGGAGTGAAAACCATCTTAGAGACAAGTTCGGTCGACAGCTCTTCCCACTTGATCTAATCTTCAGGAGGCCTCAGGTCGTTCTACCATCATTCCAAGCCCTGAAACAAGGAATCCCCCAAGGACCCTACTGTCATTCGACCGCTACACCGGAAGTGGGAAAACTCGAGGATTCCCCCCCCCAGACCGAATGGGCTATAATGTTGAACCTCCAAAAGTAATGATTTCCATATCTTGTTTTCTTTACAACAAAAAAGTGAGGATACCCCCCCCCCCCCAAATGCACTGGGGTTGAGAAATCCGGGTGTGGGTCAAAACCCACTAAAATAGACTAAAATGGGCGGTGCACCTATCCCGAACCATGGCCATCCAGGGTACACCTTCGTCCTTTCACCTTACGCCCAAGGCGCTCGTTCCGCGCCGCGGAGATCGCCGTGATGGAGGTACTAAGACAGAGGCAGAGGTAGGCGAAGGGCGTGTACCTTACGAAGCGCGAGGAAAAGGGCCGCGGGGATCTGGTCCATTGCTACATATCCTCTACATGCCCATGCTCACAGAGTACTGGAAAGGGCACCATACATAACAAATATGCACCATTGTTTAAACAAAAAACAAGCATTTACGAATATATGATATATTGTGTACAATACACACATAATATATATATATAATGTATATATATATACGCATATCATTGTCTGCGCGTATTATATACATCAATATAAGCAGTAAATGAGAACCCCCCCCCTTTCAAGGCCCGACATGCCCTCGTGGGTGTGGGGTGGGGGGGGGGGGTGAAGGGAAATCAAAGGCAAGCCCACTGCAATCTGGAGACAACCTCGCCATGCTTGGCGATAAGTCTGTCCACCCTTAACCATCTGACACTCTCTCCCTTTCGGCCGTTGGAGGGTTCCCAGGCAAGTATCCCAAAAGTTCCTTTGCAAAAGTTAGGGACTGGTAGGTTCCAATAAAACTGCCGAGTGTGGAGGAACCCTGTCTGAAGCCTCCGTTCGTGCAAACACTCGCTCAGGTTACTTGCTGGATGCCCCCAACAGGAGGCCAATGATGGAAATCGACTTGCGGAAACTAATGTTCGTAATCTCAAGCCATGATAGGGAAAGGACATTCTTTGGTGAGTCAGGGCGGCGTTCTCTTTGCGTGGTGTTGTTCTGGCGGGTTTGCCGTAAATTAGGAGGAACACCCAAAACGGTTGGCTTCCTCTTGGCCCCTCCTTGAAGCGGTCCCAAAACGGGCAGGCAAGCCTGGAGAGTTTCGGGAACGCAGCGCATCTAAGCGGAGTCTGATCCCAGGTTTGCAAGCACGTAGAAGAGTCTACGAGTTGGGTTAGGCCACTTCTGATTCAAGGGGCCGAAAACTCCAAATCAGGACACGAGCATGTTCAACTAAGGCGGGGTGTTCTTTCGGCTCTGCTCAAATGGTCTGGCGCTGCCTTTCCGTTTTGATCAGCTTCCGCTGGGAAAGCCTGCAACAAGTCTGGCAGATTCTGCAACCAATGGGGTCGAGAACCATCCTGAATCCTCTAGTTGTTGTCTCTTCTCAGCAACTGTCACTGTCTTTCGAGGGGGTAAAGTAGCTGGCACATTTCCTCTTTGTGGGTAAGTTCTCAGGGGACTAGACCAAAATGCTGGAATTGTGCCATGTACTTTCAGCCAACTGATTGTGTCAAAGGTAGCAACTCGGCCATGGGTCGTGTCAGGGACCTTGCATGGCCCCTTTAAAAAGAAAAACACAAATCATGTTGTACGCATACATGATACCAAAAGGTGCACATCGTCAACCCAGAGTCTTTGTCGCTTCCGTTCGCCGCTTCCTCCCGTTTTCCGGGATACACCCCGGCGCCCTTGCAGGGATCGTACTGCACCGTGACCATTCCGCAGGCCTTCCGAGCGCCCGGGGAGCATGGAGCATGGGTTGCAACAGCCTCCAGGTGAAGCGACTTGTTCATCCTTCCCTGTGGTTTTAGCAGGACATCCTGAACATGGACTCAGCTTCCCTCTCGGCGGTTTGGAGGTTAGGGCGCGGTTTCCCAAGTACCCTCAACAAGAACCAGGGTCCGGAAATTCCCAGCCCCCCAATCCGAACTAGTTAGATGCAAAGCTTTTTGGTGGCCACTTGAAGCGCTGGCAAACAAGTTGCCATGCATCGGGCGAGTCCAACCCCTTGTTTTTTCTTCAAAACCCAGTTGTTTTTTGGAGCCAAAGTAAAAAACCCGCTTCGTGGTACAAGGGGGAACTGTAGGGCACCCAGGTGATTTCGATTCAACGCGGCCATTTTGGGCTGATTTCTTGGAAGTGCCCGCGGCAGTCTTTCATGTCGCCTTGGATTCCAAATCATATGTCAAGCTCTAGTCCTTTGCCACTTTTGAAGCGGAAATTCAGGCTCACCCCTCCCCCTCCCCCCCAAAAAACACTGTGGTCGCTTTGAAGCGGAAAATCCCGAAACTCCACCCCCACCGCACCCAACCCCCCAAACCCCGAGCCGTTGAGCCCGCCTGAAGCATCATGGCCTTCCACTGGTCCCCAGTGAAGGTCTGGCGTCGGAGTTCTTCGCGTGGCTCTGGCTGAACACTGTTGGTAAAACATGGGCCATTTAGCACCCAGGTGTGCGGTGAACATCCCTGGTGCATTCCCTGTTGGTGTTTTTCCGTTTGGGAAAATGAGACATAGGCTGTTTAGCAAGGCGTGCTGTAAAATCGGCTTCGGTGTCTGATGACACACCCCAATGGGTACGTGGCAGAATTGATTCGACCCCTCTAAGTGCCAGCCTTTCGGCTGATGTCCTTTTCAAGAGCTCGCTGAAAAGGTCCCTAGGTTCCCTGTATGGCCCCAAAGGGGACAGAAACAAGACGAAGCTCATTGAAAGTAACTCGATCTTCCAGATACCACAGTTGCCTGGTGGAAGCGTACGTCTGTTCCACCAAACCTCGTCTACATAAGGAACCCTACACCACAAATTCACAGGCCATTTGTACTTGGTTCTTATGTTGAAGCCTTTTCGATTGAGGTATTGAAAGAAGGGTACGGGTTGCGTCAGCAAAATATAGAAGGCGTCCATCCCACCACACCCCACCCACCCCACCCACCCCACCCACCACCCCACCACCCCCCACCCCACCCACCCCACCCACCCCATTCAAGGCTCCCTCGGCCAGGTGACCCCACCCCACCACCCCACCCACCACCCCCCACCCACCCCACCACCCCCCACCCACCCCACCACCCACCACCCACCACCCACCACCCACCACCCACCCACCACCCACCACCCACCACCCACCACCCACCCACCACCCACCACCCACCACCCACCACCCCACCTACCCACCCACCCCACCACCCACCACCCACCACCTACCCACCCACCCCACCCACCCCACCACCACCCCCCACCCACCCCACCACCACCCCCCACCCACCCCACCACCCCTCACCCCACCCACCCCACCACCCACCCACCACCCACCCACCACCCACACCCACCACCCACCACCTACCCACCCACCCCACCACCCACCACCCACCACCTACCCACCCACCCCACCCACCCCACCACCACCCCCCACCCACCCCACCACCACCCCCCACCCACCCCACCCCACCACCACCCACCCCACCCACCACCCCCCACCCACCCCACCCCACCCCCCACCCACCCCCCCACCACCCCCACCACCACCCCACCCACCCCACCACCACCCCCCACCCACCCCACCACCACCCCCCCACCCACCCACCCCACCACCCCACCCCACCCACCCACCCCACCACCCCCCACCATCCCCTACCCCCCACCCACCCCACCACACCCCACCTCACCACCACCCCACCCCACCACACCCCACCCACCCCCCACCACCCCCACCCACCCCACCACCCCCCACCCCACCACCCCCCCCCCCACCACCCCACCACCCCCCACCCACCCGACCCACCCGATTTCCCCCTGGGCTACCAAGCCGACCCAGAGCCTCGCCTTGCCGGCGAAGGTGCACTGCACCGCCGCCACGATCATCGTGGAGGCGGACTTGAAGAGGAAGACCGTGCCCGGGTCCACCAGCCTGGGTCCCAGGGTCCCAGCGAATTTCTGCGTTGGGGGAAACAGGGCACCCCCCCCGTTTCCCCCTTGTTGGTCGTTGACTTCAAAGGCGCAACTCACCAAAAAAGAAGAAAAAAGGAGAAAGGGAACCACTGGGCGGGGGATAGCACATGCTGGGAAGACTCAGCTGCTGAAGGAGAACGGATTGATGGTTGAAGGGAAAATGCGGGATAGCCAGAAGAAAAATTGAAAAGGTACGCTAAGCCTGCCAATATAGCACAGTTCAAGAAAAGAAGAACATGCCATTTGCAGTAGGTCTCCCCTAGGACAAGTCGAAAAGCCGAAGGGGCTTCCAGGAGAACAAGTCGGCCTGAAAGTGTCCACCGCAGTACTTCCAAACCACTACCCTCCATGGAACCCTTGGGTTGCTTTGCTTATCAACACCTGCCGCAAGGGAATTCACAAAGGGCGGTTCCCATATTTCTCGGAGCAGGGGGCGAATCTGAAGTCAAGGCTTTAAGCTGAAACTGGCAACAACTCACGGTGGAGCCGCTGTACGCAAACATCTCGGGGAGGTTGCGGATATGCTGCCTACACACATATTGTATCGAGATACATGCAAATACTCCGCACCGATGTCTTCGATTCTGGCCCATATACAGTAAGGCTTAAAATGAAAAGCATGCTCAAGACAGACTCCAGCCAAATGCTGATGGAAGACATGTAGATGTAGAAGGACAGCTGGTTGTTGATGGCATACCTGCACCGTTCGGCGGCCCTGCACTTGATGCTTCTGGAAAGAGAGAGGCAACCTCGGATAGCTCATGCGGGTGTTCCTTTTCCTGTTGAACAAACCCCTTGCTTTTTGGTTGGTAGCAAGAGATAAATGCACAACACCCGTTTTGAGGGCTTCCCTCATGAGACAAACCCCCCCGTGGTCAATCAAGGAAGCCCCTGGTTTCGGCACTTCACGGACCCGTCAGCCCTTTCAATGCGAGCTGACTGGCGCGCGCGCGTCTCGCGCGTCGCGCGCGATGGGGGCACAAGAAGCCCAGGATGTAAATGTGCAGCACCGCGTGCGAGCTCAGCTGCTCCTGGCATCCCCAGAATGCCAAAAAACACTCCATGCTAGCTGAGCTGCTCAGCATGGAGGTTTGGCCAATCCTAACCTAATGCAATCCACGGCAAGAGAAATCGATCAAGTCCTTTCACAACCCAAGAGTAGAACTGAGGATTGAATGTGTAGGGAACTGTCTGGATAATGCGCGAGGCTCGTCATTCTGGGAGAAACAGTTCCAGTGCAGCCACTCCCCAGATGAAGACGGGTGGACTCCCCATCGCTCTCTCCAACCGCTCTGAAAAACAAAAAGCGGCATGGTGGGTTTACCCCTCTTGCCAGGCGTGCCTGATGCCCTCCTTTCAACACAGATGCAGTGAAATCAAAACAGCACTGCTCCGTAGACGCTTCAGTGGCATGCAAAGTATAAGTGCTCGTGCCACAAAGCTTGGCGGAGCTGAACCAATTCACCAGCCTGAAAAAAAAATGAGGCGCCCCAAAAAAAAGGCGAAGCTTGAACCACCCCGGTGGGGTGTACTCCAACCCGAAAATAAAGAAAACCTTCCGATCCTTGGGTCGAAGACTTGTTTCCTGTCCTTGGCGCTGGCAAAGGCGATCTTGATGGACCCCGGAAACGCCACCCCGTGGGACTTGTCCTTGGCCGGCGAAGACGCCCATGCCATGTGGGGGAGTGGGTGAAAGGGGGTGAAAGGATATGTGGCTTCATGAACCTATTTCAAAGAAACAAAACCAGGCACAGGCACAGCTCGAGGGAGAAAAGGCTCAGGTTATGCTTTGGGGTCCCCTGGACAGTGACCTTTTGAGGGACCCGTCATGCCAAGGGTTGCCGTGCCAAAGGGTTGCTCCAAAAGAAAGGGTCCCCCAATTTCGGGGACTTCTAGTACGCCCGTTCATGTTTCGCGTTAACGCGCTTTTCAAGGGGTCGCAGAAGGGTGGAAAACCAGAGCGCATGTTGGAAACCACTCATACGAGCCCCGGACAAAATGATTTGTTTCCAGAAGGAGGTGGGCCTGCTGATTCTGGCGGCATGTCCTTCCTCCTCCAACACAAAAAAGAAGAAGCCAATTCGTCAGCTGCTCAAATGGAAAGCCCCACCCCTCCTACCTGAATCGGACTATCCTGTTAGTTCCTATGACATTCCGGCTTCGGGCAAAAACAACAATTTGGCAGACTTTTGAACTCGCAGTCGCCGAGTTCAAGGCGCGGCTCCAAATAGAGTTTACCTTCCCGCAAATGGTTGGTTTCTTTTCCCCCCGGGGCGAAAAAAGGGGTGCCAGCTCAACAATCCAGGAACTTTGAAGCAGGTACCCTCCAAAAACCCGCGCTCGCACCCCACAGATGGCTTCGGTGTTCTTTTCTCACTGTAAATCCCGAAAGGGTAGCTCAGAAGCGACCCAAAGTCCATTTTTGGTTTGCAGGGGTGGGCCAAGCTGGGCTTTCCCATTCTTGGCTAGATTCCTCGTGGAATCCCCTGGTTTGCTCCTGAGATCTTGGGAAGGGCAGCCCTTCTTATCTCAAAACTTAAGGGGAAAATCGGACAAAGCGGGTGCCCAACTTTTTCCCCGACATCTGATGGGCTGAGTGAGGCTTTTTGGTGTCACCCTCTTCGGCTGGTGGCTTGTTCCTTTTGTTTGTGAATGCAAGAGACCTGGAAAGCGTGCGCACTCCCCATTCGTAGAAGGATGAGGGTCAAAACGGACACCCCAAGGAAACCTAACGCATGCTCCTATGGCTTAGTCCACGCGAAATGGCCAGAGGGTTTTGGGAGTGTTTGTTGACATCTAAGAGAAGCACGCCGGCCAGCAGGGTTGTGTGTTTTCCGAAAAGTCGTGGACATAACAAAACCTGAAAGGAAAAGAGCGAAACCCATTCTGGGGATCCGAACTCCTATTTCGCCCCACGCATATTTCCTCATCTTTCCATCGAGAAGATCTCATCCGAGGTCGTTCCACTCCGAGCTTCCATGGCGTGAAAGCTGCAGCTAAGAGCCTCGGCTCTGGCAACCCAGCCCCAGGAACTGGAGAAGTCACGGGCATAGGTGTCCATTTAGGGGAAATAGCTGGCCCTGGTAGAAGATTAAACCACCAGGTAACCCAGGGCCATCTATTTTTCTGCCAAGACAACCATGTAAACCACCAGGTAAACCAGGTAAACCAGGGCCAAAACGGACACCTATGGTCACGGGCCCCTGAGGTCGAGGGAGACGCCTGAGGGATCTTTGCTCCCTAAGCCTTTCGGGCTTACGGCCACGGACACCTAGAAACTCGAGTTCCTCTCTCTGGAACATGAGTCATTGCAATCAAGACAGCATCTTTTGGAGAAAGGGACAACCCAACAGAAAGAGTCGGAAGCTGGCCTGTAAAAAAGGGGGTGCACCCAAAATTTCAGGAATCAAATGGGCGGATATCTACACCCATAGTTGGGACTGGCCCCCATACAGGTGCGCGTGTTCATTCAACCCCATTCTGTGAGTTCCCCTGACCCTTTCCCTACTGCAAGAGGAGAGACCGCCAACTTAGCTTTTCACACAACAAAGGGTAGTAGTACCAACCTGTCCACTATGAACCTTCAATGTCCTTCCATATTCCCACAGGCATCCTTCTTTCCAGAAAACTACAAACAGAACCGGAAAGCCATGGACTGTCCCAAAGAACGATGGCTGAAAAGAGCGGACAAATATCCCCAAGGTAGAGTTCCCCGAGTGTACAGAGTTGTCCGTTACCAAGGTATCAAAACTAGGGAGCCTCCCAAATGGTGTCCATCTTGGCCCCTCCTAACATATGGTGTCTGTCTCGAAATAGGGGAGCCTTTTTGTGGATGGTTTTGAAGGGTGACCAAAATCAAACTAACCACGAGAAAGGAGGCCCAACTTTTGAGAGGAACACCCATAAATAATTATTGCCCCACAAGAGGGCGCAGCTGCTTTTCTCGAGCAGCTACATGCAAAAAAGTCTCTACGGGCCGTATCAAGGGTTTCCTGTGAATGGGTGGCTTCCCGTTTTTTGGTTCGCCGTTTCCCTTCCATGCTCCACCCCAGCCCACCCCCGCACCAAGGGCCTTGGGGCCATCCGGCAAAGGTAAGCCAGCCCTGTCAAGGTTGTGGGGTACTTTAAAACCAATAACTGGTCAATGCAGCAAAATCTTGCTGGCTTTTGCCCTTTACCCTTATATTGAGCCAACCCCCCCTATTGAGCCCCCCCCATCAAAACGCCCCAACTTGCCCAAATGGCCCCAGAGCTGGCCATTTGGCCCTTTGCAGACCACGGCACTAGCTTCACCATCTCCGCCTGAGTCCGACAACCCGCAAGCGTTCACTTGGTTCGAAGGGAAACCGCACCAACATGGGGGCGCGACCCAGGCTTTAGCTTAGCATTCCCAAAAAGCTGAGCAAAGTGGTTTGGACATGAGCTTGCTGTGCGCTTTGGTGGGTCCCAAAGCTACCAAGCGAAAAGGGAAAAGGGCGCCACTGCACAACTACTGTAGCTGTGTCCAATTCTCAGGGATGCTTCTCTTCAAAAGAACGATGGTGAAGAGAATGGGGAACGGGGAACAACCATTGGAACTACGATACTGCGGATGGACAAGATCCACTTCGCACCAAAGTTGGATGGATGACACCCCATGAATACTGGCATGAACCACCTACCAACAGGTGCCGATCGGCGTGGAATTGTTCAATCTACAGTATTGTTCAACTACGGGCTGACTCAACCCAGTTGATTAAGTCCAGCTGATAAACCTAAATGTGTGTGTGTGTGTGGTTTTTTAGGGGACCCTGTCAATCGTGTGCCTTCGCTTGGAGATGTTCATCAGCAGTTCGCAGCCGATGTGAATCCGTTTGCCAAGGGGCTCAGGTTTTGGGGAAAGACCTTAGAGGGCGTGGCGCCACGGAGAAAAGGTCGCGGAGGAGCTCTCGGAAGGCGAGGTCGCCTGGGGATTTACATTGGTAGCGTGAGCAGCTTCAGTCTCAGGGAGACGCTGCCGGCGGCCTGGACGATAGGCCAGGGAGGTGGAAAGAAAACCGGAGGTCTGAACGAGAGACCAGGTGCAGTGGCTTTTGCAGTTTGGTGATTGCAGTTTTGAGGACAGCTTTCGCTGGTTGCAATGGCGCAGGGAGAAGCAGGAGGGGGATTCGCAGGGGTTCCCACGCAGATATCGCAGCTCGTGCCGAATTTCGACCCGAGCCGTGGAGACAATTTGGAGACATGGTCGCAGAAGGTGGAGTTGGTGGCCAATGTCTGGCCGAAGGACAAGTACCCGGAGCTCATCACCAGGTTGATCTTGGGTTGCAGTGGATCTGCCTTTCAGAAGCTTCAGTTACAACAGGCGGAGCTCAAGACGGGCGACATGGAGGCGGTGAAGAAGATAATTTCCATCCTGGGAGGCACTTGGGGTCAAGTTCCATTGGAGAAGAAGTTTGAAGCCGCCGAACGAGCCTTATTCAAGATCACTCAGAAGGGAGATGAGACAAACGACTCCTACCTGGCCAGAGCAGATGTGGCATGGTTGGAGATGTTACAGAAAGGGCTCGACATCAAGGAGCTCCAAGCCTATGTTGTTTTGAGGAATTCTCAACTCGCTCCCGAGGACAAGAAACGTGTTCTCGTGGAAAGTGGAGCAGAGGCCGGAAATGTCCTTACCATGCCGAAGGTGAATGCGGCAGTCCGGATGTTGGGCACAAGTTTCTTCCAGGACTACACGGGCATCAAGAAGAGTCGCAACAAGACCTATGATCAGGCCACACTTCATCTAGAAGATGCAGGAGAAGATGAAGGGGAAGATGCAGATGCATTTCAGATGGAGGGTCTCACAGAAGAAGACATTCAGGAGCAGTTGCGGTGTGAAGGAGATGAAGATGCAATTTTGGTGGCTCAGTTTGAGGATGCGGCCACCGAGACCTTGCAAAATGATACCGAACTCGCCGCACTGTTTTCCACATATCAGGATGCCCGCAGACGTTTAGGGGACAAGGCCAAGTATCGTGGTTTTTGGGCTCCTCGCAAAGGCAAGGGCAAGTCCAAAGGCAAATGGACTTCCGGCAAGGGACAAGGAAAGAAGACCTTGTCACAGCGCATCATGGAGTCCAACTGCAGGTTGTGTGGGCAGCGTGGTCACTGGAAACAAGAGTGCCCGAATAAGGGACAGCAGTCAGCATCCAGTGGTCAGTATCCAGTGTCATTTGCCGCATCCGGGAGTGAACCCCAGCACAACACGTCGGAAGCCCTCATGCAGATTCCAGAGATCGCCATGAGCTTTCAGGACTCATCCATGCCAGACTTGTGTTCAAATGAGGTCCATGAGGTTTTCACAGCATGTCACACCACAGTTGCCTGGCCCGCACGCAGGAACCTTAGAGAAGTGATCCGCCGAAGAAGTGAAAATCAGAAGCCACCGATGATTCCAGCCATTTCCCAACACGCCTCCAACACTGAAGTGATGGAAACGTTGTTTGCGTCACACGGAACCAAAGGTGTTGTGGACCTCGGGGCATCACAGAGCGTCATGGGAAGTCGGCAGGTGTCAGAGTTTTTGGATGGGTTGCCGAAGTTGGTACGCCAGCGTGTCCGAAAGTGTGCTTGCCGCATGGTGTTCCGTTTTGGAAATCAAAGCACCCTCACCAGCCACACCGCACTCATGGTACCAATCAACAAGCAGGGGCTATGTGTAAAAATCGCTGTTGTAGAAGGCGGCACACCATTCCTCATTTCGAATGCATTGCTGTGTTCACTGGGAGCTGTCATAGACACAGGTCGACAAGAAATCACATTCCAGAAACTTCAGAAAACAGTGACCGTGCAATTGTCAAGCCGAAATCTGTTTCTGCTTGATTTCAATGACATATTGCCAGATGACCTGAGTGACACGGCCCTTATCAGCCATAGCACAATAGATGCTGCACCGTCCGCTCCGTGTGAGCCGAAAGTCAGAGTGTGTGCAATCCAGATTGAGCCTGTCCAGACCATGAGCCCCTTGAGCAAATGTAGAGGTGAGTTGCCAAGTGATAATGCGAATCTGAATGATCAGTGTGCTCAAGCCAGTGTGCCGTGTGTCACCGGCCACGAAGTGAAACTTCCGAGAGACACCAATGTCGCTAGCACTGGCCGACCGCCTCAAGAACATTCAGAAGATGATCCAGGAAGAGACACGACCACCAGTCGAGACTCTCACGAGGGACGAACTGGAGCACGAGAAGATCGCATTCGGAACGGCCAAGAAGGGACAGTCATTTGCCAAGGCATTCAGCGACCTGAAGTGGACCAGTTGGTTTGTGAGCCACTACGAGGGATCCAGCAAGCGGGAGCACCAGACGTTCATCCAGTATGTGCATCTGAGGACGTTGGAGATGGAGGAACAGCCCAGTCAGCTGAAGAAAATGGCCGTGACATTGAAACAGAGTCCCAAGGATCAGATCACCAAGTGGGAGGAGGACGAGGACCAGTGGCAGATCCCCCAACAGGACCAGTCTCAGGGAAGCCCGACCGACCCGGATGTGCAGGCTCTGCAGAGCCGGATGTGCAACATCGAGAAGGCCTTGCAGGAGGTGATCCAACACCTGCATCAGCGGGACCGGCTGAAAAGCACCGAGACGGACATGTGAGCGCATCAGGGAGTGTGCAAGCGAGCCACATGCCACCGAAAGATTTCAGACAGCATGCGCAAACAGTCAGTGATCAACAGTGGCATGATGCGCTTCATACGGTTCCCCAGGAATGTTTGCACAGCATGCCAGTCGACAGGTCCCTCACGCCGGCAGGAAAGATTCGGACCTGGGTAAATCAATTCAACAAGGAATTAGAGGAAACCCGTCAGAGTGTTAAGGGATCGCCCATTAAGTACCAGATCGACGTGCTTGAAGTGTTTTGTAGCCACCAAAGCCAGATCACTCACCAGGTCAATCAATTGGGAGGCAGGGCAATTCGCATGCATCAAGGGAGTGCAGATCTGAGCACCATCTCCGGGCGTCGCACATTGTTTCAACACATGGTGCAAAGGAAGCCGAGGCATGTGTGGTTCAGTCCAGTGTGCAAGGCCTGGTGCAAATGGTCTCAGTTCAATGCCAGCCGGTCACTAGAAGCCTGGGAGCAAGCGTGCCAGAATCGTGCAGATGCGTGCTGGCAAATTGCCCTAGGAATCGTGCTGGCAGAGCATCAGGTTCAGATGGGTGGACATTTGCATTGGGAGCAACCAGAGGGATCCAAGATGTTTGATTGCCCTGAGATGAAACCGGTGCACCAGAACACGAAGTCCTGCCGTTTTGACATGTGTCGTGTCGGTCAGCTTTGTGATCCGGAATCCGGAATGCCAATTCGAAAGCGAATGAACGTCCTGACCACAGACGATCGCATGTGGCAGATGCTTTCGAATCGGTTCTGTAGCCGAGACCACTCACATCAGCAAGTCCAAGGAAGTGTGGTCACAGAGACTGGCAGGATGAATCGGTCCACTTTCACTGAACAGTATCCACGGAAGTTTGCCCGTCAAACAGCGAAGTTGTTGATTCAGTCAGCATTTCCATCGTCGGTCCCTGTGGCAGAAGCCTTTCCCGTGCAGTCCGAGCGTCCGGCCAACAAGCGCCAATCCGAACCGGGGACGGGCACGGCCGTAAGTGAAGCCGTCAAAATCCTGAAGAAGCGGAGGATTCGCTTCAAGATCCGTCGTCCCCGGGAATATCCCGAGCCAGAGACGTCAGAGTCCAGCAAACGACCCAGAATTCAGGCAGACCCCAAGGAAATTTGGGAGCCGATTTTTGAGTTGGCCCGGAGAAGTGCACCTCCAAGGGAAAGACAGGTGATTGAGCAAGGAGCCTTGTTTGATGCCGTGCAAAGTGCTTGGAATGATGCCCAACTAAAATACGTCATGGTGGGGAGAGGGGTCAGTAGACATCAGCCACTTGCCAAGGAAAAGGACGTTGGAGCCGCACCGTACCGACGCATGGCTTTTGTTCACAGACGTTCGGGAAAGATTGAAGTGGAACCAAACTGGGAAAAGTGGGGGCAATTGTTGACCAAGCAGATCTACCGTCCCATGCCACCGTCAAGCATTAGCATAATTGGGTTTGGGAATGTCAGTGAAACAAAGCCGCCCGAGCCTCCACGGGAGCGAGATCCTGACCCGCAGGGCGAAGCCGAATTGCAGAGATTGGAATCGCAAGGTGTGACTGAGGATCTCACTCAACGAGAAATCATAGATTTGACTTCTAGTGATCATGGGCCGGCATTCTTGCAACTACCACCCAAGCAGCGCAGGGCACTCATCAAGGTGCATGGGAACCTTGGTCACCCACATTGCCAGAAATTGCAAAATGTCCTCCGACAGCAGAACTGGCCGAGTGACATGGTCAATGCCGTTGCAGACATGAAGTGTTCAACCTGCCAGGAGTTGCAGAGACCCAAGATTCAGAGGTCAGCGGCAGTCAAGGATGATTTAGATTTCGGTGACATTGTAGCCATGGATGGAATCAGTTGGAAAAACCAAGCAGGCCAAGAATTCAACTGTTACCACTTTGTAGATTACGCCACCAGCTATCAAACAGCCGTTGCCGTGCAGCATGAAAATTCAGAAGGTGCCATCAACGCCGTGTTGCAAGGGTGGATTCAGTGGGCTGGAGCGCCATACCACCTCCATGTGGATTCGGCAGGGGAATTGAATTCAGACATGTTTGCCAGCTTCCTTCAAAGATTCAACATCAGAGGAACCACCATTGCGGCAGAAGGACACTGGCAAAACGCCAAGGCAGAAAGACATGGAGGCATTTTGCAGGAAATCCTCAACCGGATGGACCGTGATGTTGGCATCCCTGACTTTCATGAATTCCAGTGTGCGTTAGCCCAGGCTTGCATGGTAAAGAACCAGTGGACCAGGGTAAGAGGTTTTCCGCCAGAAGTGCTTGTATTTGGGAAACTGTCTCGGGTAGCCGCGTCCGTCACATCAGATGTTGAGATCCCCGCGCATGCATTAGCACAGTCCCAAACTCCGGAAGGAGTGCGATTCCGGAGAGAGTTGCAACGCCGTGAGGCAGCACGCCGCGCCTTTGTCCAACTTGATAATGATCAAGCCATCCGGAGAGCGCTTGTGAGCCGACCACGGCCCTTCCGAAGTGACTTCAAGCCAGGGGATTGGGTCATGGTATGGAAAACTAAGAAAGTCGGTGATGGGGCCTGGATAGGACCCATGAAGGTTGTTCAACAAGAAGGCCAAGAAGTCACCTGGGTCACGATGTCCGGAAAGCTGTTCCGTGCACCACCTGAACATGTGCGTCCCACATCCGCAGTTGAGTTTAACAAGGTTGAACATCAAGGTCCAACTCAGCAGATCATTCCACCCGGAGTCGTGCAATTGCAGGATTGGACGCGTGTGCCTGACACTTTGACCATACCTCGACCTCGGGCAACAGCAACTGGGGCTCCACCGGAAATCCCATCAGGATCCCATTCCCGGCCGGAGCCGAGTGCGCCGACCAGTGTGAACCCAGAGCGAAATCCCGAAGTAGAGCAACCCGATGGTGAACCCTCAGTGTCTAGGGCACCCTCGCAGACCGAAACCTCAGGCATTCCAGAGATAGGGGAAACCAGGGTACCAGATGGGGTAGAGGTTCCTGTGCCGGAGGATGATGCCAGTCTGTTTCAGAGCACAGAAGCATGGAAATGTGAAGTCTTTCTCACAGCCGCAGATCTTGATCGATGGGCACATCATGGGGAGGAGGAACACCTTGGTTTAGTGGTTTCCGCAGCCAAGCGCCAAAAGTCCGAAGTCAAACTGGCGGGTCTTCAGCCTGAGGAGCAGAAACTGTTTCAAGCAGCGAAACACCAGGAAGTTGCATCGTGGCTGGATACCGGAACCGTGACCAAGATTCTGCGACATCAATTGCCTGAAGAGAGTATCCTGAGATGTCGATGGATTCTCACCTGGAAGGATGTTGATGCTGACAAAACCAAGGTACCTCAGAAACCATCAAAGAAAGCCAAGGCCCGGTTGGTTGTGTTAGGATATGAGGACCCTGACATTGAAAACATCCCAAGAGACAGCCCAACTCTCAGCAGACTTGGCAGAATGTTGCTGTTGCAGATGATTGCCAGCCGAGGGTGGAAACTCTCATCCTTCGATGTGAAAACTGCCTTTCTGAGAGGCAGCGCCAAGGATCAACGATTACTCGGTATGGAACCGCCCAGTGAAATGCGAGAACAGATGAAATTGCAGCCATCCGAAATTTGTCAACTCTTGAAGGGAGCTTATGGTAGAGTGGACGCACCATATCTGTGGTATGAAGAATTTAGAAAGACTCTTCTGGGACTAAACTTTCAAGTGAGCCCATTTGACCCATGCTTGTTTCTTCATGTTGATCCCAGAACCCATAGTGTCCATGGGGCCATAGGCGTGCATGTAGATGACGGCCTTTGTGGTGGAGATGCTGTGTTTGATGATGCCATCCAGCAACTGGAAAAGATATTTCCTTTTGGTGCCAAAAAGAGTGAAGTGTTCAAGTTCACCGGAATTCAAATTCGCCAGGAGAGGTTTGGGAAGATTGTGCTTCAGCAGGAAGAGTATGTGAAGGACATCGACCCAATCGTCCTTGCCCGTTCCAGACGGAACAATCCCGAGGAATCCGTGTCGGAATCTGAACGCCAGCAGTTCCGTGCCTTGATCGGTAGCCTGCAGTATGCTGCCGTCAACACCCGCCCAGACTTGTCACACCGGTTGGGACTTATGCAAGGGAGGGTAAATCAGGCCCAGGTACAGGATTTACTTGATGGCAACCGTTTGCTTCATGAAGCCAAAGCCAATTCGCAGGTAAGCATCCAGATTCAGCCCATTCCTTTTCAGGATGTGAGGTTCTTGACATTCTCAGATGCCTCTTTCATGTCAGCCAAGACCACTGATGCATATCAGGGGATGTTCATATTTGCCACCAACACTCAATTGGAAGTGAACCAGAGGAGTCCCGTAAATCCCATTTCATGGCACTCGAAGAAAATCCAAAAGGTTGTAACCTCCACGTTGGCAGCAGAAACCATGGCTTTAGCCCAAGCCCTTGACAACGTGTCGTGGATTAGACTGTTTTGGTCGTGGATGATATCACCGTCAGATGCCTGGAAACTCGGAGATCAGACCCTTCTAAAGCTTCCGCCAGCAATTGCAAGTGTCACCTACTCTGAAGAAGAGGTACCTCCCATCCCGGTCACAGCACAGGGACTGACAGGAACCACCACCGCCACGGACTGCAAAAGCCTCTATGATTTGGTGAGCCGCACTGCACCACCCAATTGCCAAGAGTTTAGAGTACTTCTTCAGGCCCGTTTGATTAAGGAACAGTTGAAGTCGGGGATAACTCTGAGATGGGTGCCGAGTGGAGCACAGATTGCAGATGCTCTTACCAAAGCCATGGATCCCACCGCTATCCGCACCTGTTTGCAGCTAGGCCGGTATGCCCTTCAGGATGAAGGTGAGATGCTGAAGACTCGAGCCAATGCGAAGGCCAGACTTGCATGGCTTAAGGCCAATGGGGAGCCATCCTCTGAGGATGCGTAGATGCAGGAGGGGTTCAAGCGAACACTCATTTTTTGGGAGTGTCAATCGTGTGCCTTCGCTTGGAGATGTTCATCAGCAGTTCGCAGCCGATGTGAATCCGTTTGCCAAGGGGCTCAGGTTTTGGGGAAAGACCTTAGAGGGCGTGGCGCCACGGAGAAAAGGTCGCGGAGGAGCTCTCGGAAGGCGAGGTCGCCTGGGGATTTACAGGACCCCTCCAAAAAGGTGGTTTCTCACTTTTTGTTTCCTTTTTACCCCCCCCCCCCCCAACAACAAAAGAAAGTTGCGAACTCCCAAAAAAACAGACACAAATCAACTAGGGGGGTGGGTTCAACCATGATTTTGTCTAGGTCCTCCAGAGAGGTTGGAATAATACCCTTTTTCTGCAGTCCATTTTAGTAGGGGAACCCTCCCCCAAAAAGAAACGGTAAAAGGGCACTAAGTACTGAGGGACCTGGGACCTAGTTGTCAGTGAGCCAAGGCGCCATACAAATCGCCGAGGTCGTGGAGTACTTGAAGCCTCCGCTCGCTGCCTGTGAGGCCTGAAGGTGTCGCTGGCCGGCAACCAAGGAGCCCTTCTTCTGTTGGTTGTGAACTGGGCCCCTATGTTTTTTTTTTTTTTGTTTTTTTTTTTTTTTTTTAAAAGAGAAGAGGAAAAAAAAAGGAGAAGGCAAGGAAGGTGGGTGGGGTCCACAAAGCTTGGGTAGGCTCCGCAATTTAACCAGAAGCGTCGAGCGCTGAACACGCGGCTGATGCTGTCTTTCGGGACCTGCAGTCTGGCTGGCAGCTCTTGTCATGTGCCGTGCAGTGGGTGCTGGGCCAGTGGAGAAGCCAGTGGCAGGGAAGCTTTGTGGAAGCGTTGGAGAAGCTGCTTTGGGTATGTCAACATCGGGTACCCTACAAAGGGTGAGTCCCTTTGCGTGTTTCCTCGAAAGCAACCCAAAAAGGTTACCCCCTGAAACAGCGCACATATTCGGTCCCATCTGCAAATCCAAAGCATATGTTTTTTGAAAGATGTCCCACTTGCAGGTCATTGCATATCATTCCTGCCTGTTTCGCGTCAATGGATATTAAAGTCTAAATCAAGATTGGAACTATGATTGAACCCTTTCCCTAGTAAATAATACTAAACTCTCAGAAAGAAGAAAAAACAACTTGAACCAACATCAGGTGTGTAAAGGAACTCCTGCTTCAACTTCTCTGGGGATTCCAGCTGAGAAGTCCCACCGGGTCATTGCGATCATTCCTCTCTGTTTTGCATCCCATCTGCAAATCGAACAATTGACTCCATGCGTCAACAAAGAATGGAGTTTAAAAAATGTTCCAAATAGAAGTTCCTAAACAAAAACTGTTCCAAATAGAAGTTTCTAAACAAGTGTCCGTGGTTTTCAAAGTCAACTCGGGTTCTAATTGAAGTTACCCTAGATCTTTTTGGAGAAAAGGAAATCATGGTTAAATGCGAAATTGGAACTGAAATTCATATTATATTAAATGCTACTAAAACAAAATATTGACATGAAAACCATGTTTGGAAATTAATTCCTCCTATTCGGTATATGAGGCCTTGAAAGGATCTGTCAAGGAGCTGTATTCAGGAGCTGCATAAGATGCCCTCCTGTAAGGGACTTTACAAGCAGCTTTAGAAGGATTTGCGCAAGGACAAGGAGCCTGAAACAGGAGCTATATATGGATGCCTTGAAAGGAGCTTTACAAGAAGCCTTATGAGACTGGAGTCACGAATCTAAGGCCAGCTGTTGAAGTCTGCCTTAAAGCCCCTTATTGAATTGAATTTAGATTCTAGTATTTATTTACTCAAGAAGCGTTCAGCATGCATATCGAAGCAATGCGTGCGCACAAATGGGAGGAGTAAACTTCAACGAAAACAACAAAATTTGATGAACAATGCCCACCAATACAAAAACAACTCAGTGTTTTGTTAATGTTCTGTACCTGTCAGAAGGACAAACCAAAAACAACACGAACTTTTGTTTTTGGGTGGGCTAATGCGAAAAAGCAGGGAGAACCCAAAAACAAAAACTCGAGAAAGCCAAAAAAAACAAGAGAACCGGTGTTTTCCAGCCCCAAGCATTGTTTTTTTGCTTTTTCTCAAGGCTAGTTTGTTTTCCCACCTCACTTGTTTTTGGTTGCTTGGCATTATTAAATACAAAAGCAAACACACTGGAGTTTGTTTGGTTTGTGGACATCTGGCCTTCTAAAAAAAAAACTGCTTTTGTGAGGGAACAACAATTTGAGAATAACAAAATGCAAAACAACCTGGTTTCTCAAGTTGTTTGCTCTTTGTTTTCGCAACGATTTTGACTGGTTTACTTTGAAACATGGCATTGCTTTATTAAATGCATTTGCATGCATTAGGATGAGTCAAATCGAGCTGGCATATGACATGCGGGTTAGCGATTGCACATGTCCGAAAACGTGAAAGACAGTGCTTTTGTTACACTTTGCAAGCGTACAACACAAGCAAAAAATGTGAACATGAATGCGTTGTTTGGCATGCCCAACTCAACGTGGAATGCCTCCAGAGACCAGAATCCGGTCACGGGTTATCCACACATGCTTCTATGATTCTGCATCTTAAGCTTAAGTCGACAACTCATAGACACCACAATGCCACGCAGTCTGGCATGACACATGCTTACTGTCAATACACAAGAACTATGTGAAAGGACTTCAAAAAGCCAAAGGTACACCATGGGGGGGGTATATATATATATATAAAAAGCTATAACCGTGCATGGAACACAACGTGAAGCCCAAGCAGAGCCAGCAAATCACTTTTCATGGGTTTGGCTGTAATCCTCCAAGCGTTTGGCACCTTTTCTATGGTGCCTGTGTTGAGCACAGCGTTGCAGGGTGCAGCTGGTCCTTGTGAGCGCGTGCATTTGGCCTTTTTCCAGTGAGTTCTGCCAGAAACTGGTAGACTCCCTCTGCACTGACGCTTCAAAACACGACACGCGTCCCTCCATGTGGTTCCCTGGTTTCATCAAGATGGATTCTCTCGAAACTGCCTTGTTAATTGGCAAACCTGAAATCCACCGGCCCCAAACGCCTTTTTCCTGACGGCATTCGAGCGGTCAACATCCGGCCTTGTAGAGGACGCCCACCTCATGCAGGGTCCAAACCCCAAAGCGGGCCAAGTTGGACCCCTTTCATGTTGGTAACCGCTTCCAGCTTCTCTTCGCCACTGTCCGGGAAACTCGCACTGACTGGTATTAACAACACATGCATATATAGAGAGAGAGAGATATGTATGTTCTGCATACATGTAAGTGTACATATGGTTTGTATTTGTATACTATATCGTATAAAAAGTGTATGGTGTATCTTATGTTATAGTGTATCATATTGCAGTGTACTGCATTTTATTATGAACAATTTAGCATACTATGTTATATTGTATTGTATTACATATTATATGCTATATATTGTACATTATATATTTGTTTATATGTGTGTGTGTGCGCATGTCTGTAGATGGGTTGATATGGGTGGAGCCATATCAGGCAACTAGAGTTGTACGCCTCAGTGCCTACGTCTGAGTGAGCACACAAGGGACCACGTCCAACAACTCAAGAGGCCAAGGAACAATGACATATGGTTGGGCGTATACCCGGTACCTTGTTGGGTTATAACCAGACTAAAGCGAAACCGAAGGGAAACCACCCAGTTGGGCTCTCCCCTATTTTGGCATATAATTATCCAGATTTGCGTGGCATGATAATGTCCATCTGGAACAAGTGCAAAACATCAGAGGGAAAAATAAACGTGGTGCCAAGCGTGGACATTCGTGCAATGAAAGGAAAGGGGTTCGGCCAAGTGCACGTGTGCATGCGCGCGTGTGCGTGCATGCGTGCTTGCGCATACGTGCGCCTGCATGTATACGAGCTCGCGCATGTATGCGTACGCGCATGTACACGGATGCATATGCGCGCGCGCACGGAAGCGGCTGCACGCAAGCGTGCCGGTGTGCAAGCGCACATGTGCACATGTCACCATGCTCGCGTGCAGCGCATGTTCGTTCGCGCGGTTGCGGTGTGTTGTTCTGTTGCCCTTTTATGACAAACGCACTGAAATTTTGCGGGCGTCTCCCTTGCAACGGCCCTCATGTTCCTTGATGAATGCGAGATCATTCTCTTGCTTTTATCAACGCACCAAATCCGTTGATGTTCGGCTTTGCCAAGTTGCTTTGTTTGCCCTCCATAAATCCGTCTACTCGCGAGCCACAATTTAGGGGTCCCTATGAAAGGATCCTTCATAGATACCGAACCGGGTTCTCTTTTTGGGAAATGAACCCCTGGGATGAAATAAGTCACAATCAAAACCCGGTACAAGAATGGTCGACCCAGAACCATGTAAAGAAGTTTGCCGGCGGCCGCGGCTATTTGTGGCTTGGATCGTCCCTTACGAACCTTCACTTACCCGGGCCTTGATTGTGGCTCAAATGTCCATGGGTCGAAATCCCGTAGCCCCAGTGAACATCCCAATCCCCAGAACATAGGTTCTAAAATGGGTGGTGCACCCCAAAATGGTACCAAAACGGATTTGACCCACAGCCGAAATCTGGGTGAATCATAAATTTTACCAACCTGAAATAAGGTGGTTGGGGGGGGCTATTCCCCACATAAACCACCATTTGGGGTGCATTCGGTCGTGTGAGGTCGTTATAATTCACCCAGATTAAATGTCTACCTTGGGGTAAATCAAACGAGGCAACCCCGCACCCGCCCGCTCCAGGCGGCCGTGGTGGAGATGCAGACCATACCTCGCTCGAACTCGGGGAAACGTTGCGGAACACACAGCCCGCACAAAACCTTTCAATGTTTCTCTCAACTGCCCCCCCCACCTTTTTCTTTCTTCTTTTTGTTTGGGGGGGTGGGGGGTGGGGGGGGGGACTCCTTCTGACAATTGTACTATTGTTCGACGCAAACCAATAGCTTCATGAAATCGGCTCTTGAAAAGACCTTGCTTAACAGGTATTCAGCTCCTCCTTATCCTACTTCTCTTCTTTCCCTTGTGCTTCGGAGATTGGAAAGGGCCACTCATTCCGAAGGATTCGAATTTTCCGGACCCCTTTTCAGACCTTTTGCTGCGCGCCTCCCAACAGCCGGTCTCTGCTCCAAGCGTGCACAAGCGTCAAAGGGCTTCATCTTTGCCAGATGTGCATTGAGTTTTGGACAAAGCACCACAACAAACGAACAAACAAATAAACCAACAAAGAAACAAACAGAGACAAGCAAGCAAGCAAACAAGCCAACCAGCAAACAAGCAAGCAGGCAAACAAGCCAACCAGCAAACAAGCAAGCAGGCAAACAATTAGGCAAGCAAACCATCAAGCAGGCAAGCAACAACCAAGCAAGCAAGCAAGCAAGCAAGCAAGCAAGCAAGCAAGCAAGCAAGCAAGCAAGCAAGCAAGCAAGCAAGCAAGCAAGCAAGCAAGCAAGAAGCAAGCAAGCAAGCAAACAAACAAACACAAACACAAAAACAAATCAACAAATAAACAAACAATCAAAGAAGCAAAGAAAAATCAAACAAATGCAAACCCAAACAAACACAATCAAGCAAACAAACAAGCAAACAAGCAAACAAGCAAACAAGCAACAACAAAAAACACAAAGAAACAAACAAAAGCAAGACCAAACAAACAAACAGACAAACAAACAAACAAACAAAGAAAGAAATAAAGAAAGAAAGAAAACAAGCAAACAGGCACAAGCAAGCAAACGAGAAAGCAGGCCAGCAAACAAACACAAACACCAACCAAGCAAACAAACAAACAGCCGACCAAGCAAGCACACAAGCAAAAAGCACAATGACCCCAAAAAAAAGAAGCAAGCAAACAAAGAAACAATCAAGCAAGCAAGCAAAACAGCAAGAAACAAACAAGGCGAGCAAGCAAACAAGCAAGCAAGCAAGCAGGCAGGCAGGCAAACAACAAAGTAAGCAAGCAAGCAAGCAAGCAAGCAAGCAAGCAAGCAGGCAGGCAGGCAGGCAGGCAGGCAGGCAAGCAGGCAAGCAAGCAGGCAGGCAAGCAAGCAAGCAAGCAAGCAAGGAAGCCAACGAACAAACAACAGAGCAAACAAACAAGAAGCAATCAAACAAACAAACAAGCAAGCAATCAAACAAACAAGCAACCAAACAAACAAGCAAGCAAACAACAACAAGCAAACAAGCAGGCAAGCAAACAAGCAACAAGCACCCAATAAAACAATTAGCTGGTACCAGGAACACTAGCAATGACAAAAGGCAGCGTATGGCAACATCCTTCCATTGTTTGGATATTTCAAAGAAGACTTCAACAAAGAGGTCCCCGAGAATGGGGAAAGCAAAACACCACCAGGGGTGGGGTTCTCAACCTGGTAGACCCTTTTCTGGATGGCCTACATGGCACCGCCTCCGAGCAGAACTTCCAACAACAACGAGTGAGCCAGCGAGTCAGATTGAGCGGAAGCGTCAGGAGTCTGGGATACCAAGGAGCCAAACCTTTTTCGCCCCAACTTTCTCAGTTGTTCAGTGACACTAGAAAAAAAAGGAACCCTTTTGGGGAAGACCATATTTGGTGGGGCAGCCACCCAAAAAAAAGGGAAAAGGGTGCCACTGAACAACTGAGCTTCGGACACTTCGGGATAGAGTTGGGCCATAAGGCTGTGGGTCAAAAATAGGGTAACCCCAAAAAGGCTTGCCCTGGTAAGTGGCAACATGGACCAAAACCTGTGGTCCCCTGGTGGTTTGATTTTGACCCACACCCATATTGAAACATGTGTCAACCACGGCGAAGCGCCGATCCTTCTTTGCAATGCCCCACATAGCTTCCAAACGGTGGGAGCCAAAACTTGCACTACCCTGGGCCTGAGGGTGGATCACAAGGTCCTTTACTTGGGCTGACCATTAGGGAAACCACCAAAAAGATGACTCTCACCAGAAAAGTTACCCATGGTCATTTTGGGGCCGGGAATATTGATCAACCCCCACGATGGGCATGTTCAGGCTCGTTCCCTGGTGCGGTAAAAACTTAGCAGAGTGATTCCATTTCCCTGCATCCGCGAGGGCACCCTTTGAGCTAAGGAAACTGACTGGCCTGTTCGGAACTACAGTGCAGAGTCACTTGCCAACCCTCCATGGGTGAGTTCGTGCGTCCCCGGGATTTATCCGGCAAACTTGGAGAGTCTCCACTGTTCCCAAGGTTTGCCTCAAGTAGAGACAAACAAAATCAAATTGGGGGCAAGGGCCGGCCTTCTCCTCCGGTTGTCTTAGATGCCCAGTGGCCATGGAAACAAAAAGGGCACCCTTCTTTTGTTGGTTGAGTTCAAAGGGGAACCCTCGCCCAAAAAAGGTTGAAAACAGGAAGCAAACTACTAGGCAACTCTGGTTGTCCTTTTGATCAACCCGACGGCGGCCTCGATTTGGACCAAGGGGCCAAGGCCGGCCAGCAGCTTCGTGCGGATGCTCGAATCCATGGCTCCGAAGCATCCACCGGCTTGTTCCCCGGTTTCCCCCTCCCGGCGGGTTCGCTCCAGGCGACAACATGGCAACCTGGGCGAAAAGAATCCTCGGTGGCTCGTCTAGGTCATCCAGTAGAGGTTAAAATAAGGGTACCAACTTTTTCTGTAGACTATTTTAGTAGGGGACCTAGTGAAGGTTTCCCTGGAAACAAAAGAAACAACCACGAGCGGCTCCCATGTGCTTCTTTAGACTTTAGTGTGGCGGAACAAACACCTGCCTTGTGCGAGTCTTGTCGCAGTAGCTTCAATCGGAAGGACTGATCCTTTGCGAGTGTTGATCCCATGTCCTCAAAACGAGATGGAATTACAGCGACTGTCTTACCAGGCCGCCCATCTTCAATGTAAAGAGAATGACAAGTTCGGCTATGGGACTTATCTAGGCATATTTCGATTATTTCCGAAACCGGAAATTCGGGAACGCCCTACAACCTACAAACCTTCATCTCGGAGCTCGTTTGGCCCGGGAGAAGCTGGTTATTTGCCCAAGCTCCTTGCGTTAGGACTGTCTTCATGGCATCCCAATACCTCAGCCTCACATTTGGCCCAGGCTTCACCAAACTGGTCGGAATATCCAAAGCCAGCGAATTGCAGGGACTGTGAACAGGAAACGACGAACACAATGGAAACCATTCTCCAAAGAAACGTGCCTGGATCTCAAAACCAAAGAAATACTGGTGAGACGTGGGTTGGATCGTGACCTCTTGGGCTGTTCCAGGACTAAGCCTGATCTGCGGGGGGCGAGAGGCGATCTTTCCGCGACTTGGAGCAGTCCTGACTTCGGCACACTCAGATATCAAACACTGAGATCCAGGGGTTCATTCCATATTCTGTTCCATCGTTCATTACAAACAGCAGCATTCGCTTTGTCCCGTGGTTCTGCAAAATGCAGGATCTCATCTCTGAAAGGAATGGGGGCACTAGCCTCATAAGCGCCTGTCTCCGCAAAACGCTCTCTGCCACTGAAAATGACATCTATTTCAGGGGACTGACTAGGGATCAATCCAAGATTGCCAGTCTTCCTTACCAGTCAAGGCTGTTTCCCCAACCAACGGGACATTGAGTTTGGTGTTTTTTTCAAATGAGAGTTCTTCAAAAAGAAGAAAAGGTCCCAATGTTGACCCCGGCGCCTGTGTTTCCTTTTCAGGGGTCGCAAAAGGCTACCTTTCTGGAACCATATGGAAACCATCTCCCCATTCGGTGTGCAAGCGCACTTCCTGTGGCATATCCCACGGGCTGAAGCAGAAAGCTGGGGCTTCCCAATCTCCGACGTTCCCAGGCCTGCTACAAGTTGCTTCTTCTTGCGCTTGGTTGACGTTGGAAGGGGAGCAAAAAAAAGAAGAAGCAGTTAAGTGAAGATGTCCCGCTAAACCACAATAAGCAAACATGTACAATGTTTCCCAACAACAACCATGTTGCTAGTGATCAGTAGGGAATGACCCGGGGTGTAGGGGATGAACCCATCGATTCCCAGGGAAGCCATGGAAAAATAATTCTTGCCCTCAAATCAAATTGGGAGCCGCTCCGCGTCCAAGCGGACGCTTTTACTTCTAGCCGAGAAGAGCGACCTGTTCACAGCCGGTTGAAATCGAGCTCCGGCCAAGGCCCCATGGCTCCTGGGGCGTGTTGGTGACGTCTCCCTAAGAAACCTGAGGGGCACCCTCCCTTAAGAACACCCATACGCCGGTCTCAGAGTCTCAAGGCAAGCTGTGAACGCCAAGGCCCCACTGAACAAGACGTTCCGTTCTTCCCGGTCGCTCGCTCGCTGCGAGAAGGCTGCCCCGCGCGCAGATGTGTTTTCCTCCTTCGCTTTAGAAATTGCCTTGTCCTGGGGACGTCCGTTGTGCATAACAGTCAGCAACCATCGAGAAATTTGTTCGAGGGGTTGACACAAGGGTGCCTCGGACAGGCTAAAGAAGCCTCGGACAGGTCCCAAGTCGGACCGCAGATACGGCGAGCCCTCTTGGCCTCGAAACCCCGGGGCTGCCAGACAAGAGATTGCCAATAGCCATTCCTTGACGCACATCCGAAATCCCGTTTCTCTTTCCTGTTTCGAGCCCCAAAAAACATCAAATGCTTTGAGTCATTCATGCCCCCCCCCTTGAGAAGAAACAAAGAAGACCACGCAACCGAAAGAAAGAAGCTCCTGGAGCTCTGATCAGTCTTCCAGAGAACTGATCAGTCTTCCAGAGAACTGCCGCGCTGCTGCAAGAACTGCAAAAGATGCAGCTCTGCTGCCATCCTCACTCTGGGGCGCCATATCCGATTTGGAGACAAATGGAGGTTCCCTGTTCCTCGCCTTTGCATGCTGGCGGTTCTCACCCCCGAAAGCAGTCTTCAGAGCTCCTCGAGATGCGGGCCCCCGATCAAAAGCTGTTGCACTTCCCCCGATGTAAAAAGTAAAAAGTTGGGTGCACTTTACCCAAAGAGACCTGACACGAGTCATGTTCAAAACCCGGTATATCCCGATATGAAAACGGTCTACCATAAACCGTGTGAAGAACTTATCGGAAGACATCCGCACCTGTTTGTGGTTGGGGCCATCCC